GCATTTTTCAGGTGTTCGACATTGTTGTAGTGCCCACGATATATTTCGTATTTCAAAAATCCCCAAAATCAGAAATCGAGAACGGCGAAATCCGGGAATCGAGGAGGCTATCAATATGCGTTCATTGGTTCCAATTCATTGATTTGAAAAATAATAATTTAACAGTATTCTAATATTTCCATAGTTATGAGGGGGAATGTTCCCCATCTTGCTGAAAGTATATTTCACGTAAATTAGCTAAAGGAATATCTAAAATTTCCGATACGATAGATTATTCTTACGTATACACGTATTCCAAGATTTACAAATAGCGGTAGAGAGTTAAGTTTCCCTAATATATAAAGAATTTATTAGCGGCTCCCAAAATAAAACAAGAGACAGATAGCAGTATACTTTTAATAATTCTTTAGTTTCTTTTATTATCAATCATGGCCTACTAATAAATATGATCTTTTAATAAAAACTTTTAAATATTGCAGTAAATAGTGAAAATAAATATAGAGTGATATATATTTTTGAGAAGCTTATGGCAAGACAGATCATATGATTTATAAATATACAGGGTGTTCCATTTAAAAAAACATAACTTTAGTTCATATTTTCAAAAATATTTTTTTGGTAGAAAAACAGACTACGCCACTGTATTCTACGTAAAAAGTTTACAATAAACAGTTTTCACCTTCTCGATAGCTTTAACAATAACAGAGATACAGGAGGTGTCCCAAATTGCAAAATTTTCAAAAAGACCCTGTAGCTCGGAAACGAAGAGGGCTATGAAAATTTTGTTTACGGCATCTTCCGTTTGACAAAAAAGTGAGACAGGTTTGTGCAAACCGCACCCTTCTATCTTCACTAATAACGGAGATACCGTATGATTTCAACCAAAATGGGACACCCTGTACATTCGACGCCATAAACACCACTTTGAGGTTTTTTTTCGCGTAAAAATTTTTGTTGTTTTTTTAAATTTTTATTTAAATAACCCAGATAACCATTGATAATAATAACAGTAAAAACTCTAGTTGCACACTTACTTGTCCTAGTATATAGGATTACATATTATTTATAAAAAAAACAGTAGGTAGATATTTTAAAAACAAACATAAATAATTTTCATATTAAATTATCTACACATTCATTTCCTGATAACAGTTAAGTACCTATTGCATTACAACATTTTACTGAAATATGGAACTGATAGCATTATGTCAGCCTTAAATATAGTTCATTAGTTAATAAATAACTTTATTACAATGCAAAATAAACCTACTATAATTAAAAAATATATTTTTCATTAGCCCTCTAATTATAAGCATATCAATAATATGCATCAGCTACAGTAGATATGCACCTGGAACTAAAATATTCGTTTTACATTTTACAGCTGAATATTGTACAGAAAGCTGCTTAGTTTACCAGTAATGTAACTATAAATTTTAAAAATAAAAATGACACAATTGCAAAATTTATTGCTTTATTATCACTTTCTTTTTTGCAATTTGTATAAAATTCTATTAGTATCCCTGAATAATTTTTCTGCGTATATTTCAATAAATAATTTTCTCACATAAATCTATATACAGGGTGAGTCTTAAATAAGTGCAAATCTTTTTAGGCGTAGTATATTTCGGCTCCAGAAACACGATTATGAGGTATTTTTCGCCAAAAAAAATTGAAGATTTGGAATTTTTTTTAAGTTTTAGTTAAAAAACTTAATTTCTTAATAATATGACAATACAGGTAATAGATTAAATTTACAACAAAGAAACCCCAGAAAAAATCCAGTGGTTCTCAAAATTTAAGCTAAAAATAACTCGGATATTTTGGATTTATTTGTAAAACGGTAAAGAGAAAATATATATTTCTTTTATCGAGATCCAGTAGCCCTGGAAATATTTGCTCTTATTTGAGACGCACCCTGTGTAATATTACTCTTTATTAATCGTAATCGGAGTCCCTCGTTTTACACGCCATGTTTACCTATACGCGGATTCGTTTATATGCCTTTGCAATTTTGACACAAGTGACTTAGGCTTGATTTTCATGCATCCGTTGTCCAACGATACGTTGATACGATATTAATTTCATTGGTTGTATTTAAAGGCTTCGATTGGTTAACCCTTTCTAACCAACCGAAGTCTTTAAATTCAACCAATAAAATTAATATCGCATCATCGTATCGTCGGACAACGGATGCATGAAAATCAAGCTTTATTCTACGCTGTTATTTATACGCGGTTTTAGTAATTCTAGATATATTAGACAGGAAAAATCCATAAGTATCCATCTCAATAGGATAACAAGTCAACAAGTTGTGAAGTTGTAACATACGATGACAACAGAGATATTAGACAGAAATTGCCACCCACACATTAACTCTTATACAGGGTGAAACGTAAATAAATGCAAATATTTTAGGAGTAGTATATTTCGACCCCAGAAACACGTCTATGCGTTTTTTTCTGAAAATAATATTTTGAAAAGTTGGAACTTTTTTCCAAATTTTGTTACTTTTTAGTTAAAAAAACATTATTTCTTGATACTATGGCAACAGGTGTAGTAGATTAAGTTTACAAGAAAGAAAACCTAGAAAAGTTCCAGTTGTTCTCAAAATTTAAGAGAAAAATTATATTTTTTAAAATTTTCAAAGTAAAATACCTCGGTTATTTTGAACGTATTTGAAAAAAGGTAAAAGAGTAAATAAGTTTCCTTTATCGAGATCTAACAGCACAGAATATTTGCACTAATTTAAGATTCACCCTGTATAATAAATATCTAAGAATATTACGCTGACTCAAAATTAACTACGCTTACAAAAATACACTATATTGCATGATATGTACAGTTGAGTGAAATATTAATGATATATTTTACTCCACTACTTCAAACATGTCCTGAATTTTATGACAGAAATTATCGTATACCATGCTAAGATACCGTATGGTGGCATACGAAATCCCTTGTAATTTTTGAAAAGTTCAAATACTATCACCCCAGATGATTTTAGGCAAAAAGTGTATTAGATTTTTTTGAAGAGGCTTTAAAATTTAACTGTCGTCTAGAATTTTGTTTTATTTGGTATGGGCATCTAAAAGTTATTTGCAAAAATCTACCTTCAAATTACTGAAAATTTATAATACGACCCAGAGAAAGCTACAATTAAAATACCAGCAAAAATATGATTTTATCATTGTCAAACTTGATGTCACATTCTTTGTTTACATGAATTTATGTGGTTTGAAAAGGGTAGATATATTTTTTTCTGAATCCACAATAATTTAACAAATAAAAAAAAATATTTTTAACTAAAGGAAATTTGTTAAACTAGGCTAATTAATAAAATGTTTACATAATCCCCAATTCGAAGCCAAACAATACCTCAAATGATTCTGAAAATTCACGCCTCACAATACAAAGCTGTTAATGGGAGAATCTTTAGATCCCACAGAGCAGAGATGTCGTTTTCAGTCCATCTAAATTTCTGCATTTAATATGCCCTTAAAGACGGTTTTTGAGTGTGCTCCATAGGAAGAAGTCGTTCGACGAAAGATCCTGTTGTATTTTCCTACGGTATCCCCAATAAAACGGGAGTCAATGTTGTTTTCTTCCTGTTCAATTATTTTTTTCTTCACACATCCATGTGCTTAATACTTTAGTGCCTTTAGTTTCATACCTATGGTTTATTCTTTAAACTATTGACTTATTCGGTTTAGGCTTTTCGGAGATTGAGGTGTGAATATAAATATCTGACACAGCGAGAATACTATTTCCAGCAAAATGCTGTTTAATCATCGTTACTTTTTCAGAAGTTGGGAAATTAATAATTATTTTGTGCAATTTTTGTAAACAAAATGTGACATCGAATTAAATAAATGACCCAATCAGATTTTTGCTGGTATTTTAATAATTGTAGCTTATTCTCTGGGCCGTATTATAAATTTTACTAATTTGAAGGTGGATTTTTGGAAATAACTTTTAAACAACTATTCCAAATGAAACGAAATTCTAGACAAAAGTACAACTATAACATCTCTTGAAAAAAGCCTAATACAACTTCGGCTTAAAATTATCTGGATATATAATATATGATCTTTCAAAATTTGCATGTGGCTGACGTATGACGGTGTGACGGTTTTATTACGGTATTTGCCTGTAATGATCGGTAATTATATGGCTAATCAAGCCGAATTAAGTATCTATCTCAATCTCAATAGGACAACAAATCAACAAGTTGTCGAGTTGTAACATACGATGAGAAATAGCAACAGAGATATTGGCCAGAAATTTTCACCCTAAAACTCTTATACAGGGTGAGTCTTAAAAAAGTGCAAATATTTTAGGAGTAGTATATTTCGACCCCCGAAACACGTCTATGAGGTTTTTTTTCTCTGGGCCATATTATAAATTTTACTAATTTGAAGGTAGATTTTTGCAAGTAACTTTTAAACGACTATTCCAAATGAAACAAAATTCTAGACAAAAGTACAACTTTAACGCCTCTTGAAAAAAGGCTAATACAACTTTTGCATAAAATTATCTTGGGAGATAATATCTGATCTTTTCAAAATTTACATGTGACGGTATTTTCAAGTAATGATCGGTAATTAATATGGCTAATTCCTGTGAAAAATCAAGCCGAATTAACCTCAAATTAACAAACAAAAATATCGTATTACAGTGACGACGATATAGGCGCGCACCTAAAATTAGCTTTTATATGTCAAGATGAAACAGAATTTAAAAATTCGCAACCGGTACGGGCCGACAGCGCGCGATCCTCAGGGCTTTCGATACCTCTAAAAATAATATAATCTAAATTTAAGCAGCGCTCGGACAGAGCGCGAATTATGTAATGCAATATTTTCGGTATTTTCCTACGCAAAACCACGCTCCTATAAACAAATTAATAACATTTCTCCGGCCAGCTAAACACCGCAACATAATTTCGTCCAAAAATAAACGATTTTTCACATCCAAAAAATTAAATTTTTTGTACTCACTTTCTGGATAACTAAAGGTGTCCCGAAATCCTTTCCTCCCTGCAATCTGAACCCCCAGTTCGGGGAATCCGCCTTGTTCAAGCGCACCGTCATCAAGTTTGCCATTTTTCTCGCTGTTTTTCCCTTGCTTCACCGGTGTGTTTTTTTTTCGAGAGACGCACTGATAACCGTTGCTGCGGATCACTTTTTACGCGAAACTTGCGGGTTTTGATGGTATTTGGACAGCGCGTATTGGCGTTTGAAAAAGTGGCCGCGAGACGACCGGTAGCGCCGCCTATGCGATCGCGGTTTCATGACAGTGGTGGGGGAAGATGCGCTTATTTATAGAGAAGCGATAATAAATTATAATAAGGTGGTGCGGATACGGTGCGTGAATGCGATAGATTTGCCGATTGGCGAATTTTTTGAGCTTGTTCTACAGGGTGAGCCAACATAATGAAGAAACTTTGTATCGGGTTTCTAGTTTGAAATGAAAACTCCAATCGGTTATGTAAAATATTCAGGCAATATATTTGCACGTTTTAAAAATATCATTGTCAATAGAGATGAACAAGCGTGGTCTTGTCCTTGTATAAAAAGCAAGACCAAAACTAACGTCAGATCGGCCAGACTAAGATTAAGACCGACCAGTGCGAGAGTTATAAACAAATTAGAAACATTTCTTCAGCCAACTAAACACCACGACATAATTTTGCCCAAAAATGTACTATTTTTCACAAAAACAAAATTAAATTTATTGTACTCACTTTCTGGATAACTAACGGAGTTCCGAAGTCCTTTCCCCCCTGCAATCTGAACCCCCAGTTCGGGTATTCCGCCTTGTTCAAGCGCACCGTCATCAAGTTTGCCATTTTCTTGCTGTTTTTCCCTTGCTTCGCCGGTGTGTTTTTATTTTCGAGAGACGCACTGATAACCGTTACTGCGGATCGCTTTTTACGCGAAACTTGTGGGTTTTGATGGTATTTGTACGGCGCGTATTGGCGTTTGAAAAAGTAGCCGCGAGACCACCGGTAGCGCCGCCTATGCGGTCGCGATTTCAAGATAGTGGTGGGGGAAGATGCGCTTATTTATAGAGAAGCGATAATAAATTATAATAAGGTGGTGCGGATGCGGTGCGTGAATGCGATAGATTTGCCGATTGGCGAATTTTTGGGCTTGTTCTATAGGGTGATCCAACCTAATGAAGAAACTTTGTATCGGGTTTCTAATTTGGAATAAAAACTACAATCATTTTGTAAAATATTCAGGCAATATCTTCGCAAGTTTTAAAAATATCTTTGTCAATAGAGATGAGTGCAAGCGTAGTCTTCTCCTTGCATAAAAAAGCAAGACCAAGACCAAAACTAACGTCAGATCGGACAGACAAAGATCAAGACCGACCAATGCGAAACTTATAAACAAATTAGTAACATTTCTTCAGCCAACTAAACACCGCAACATAATTTCGTCCAAAAATAAACGATTTTTCACATCAAAAAATTAAATTTCTTGTACTCACTTTCTGGATAACTAAAGGTGTCCCGAAATCATTTCCCCTGCAATCTGAACCCCAGTTCGGTGAGTCGGCCTTGTTCAAGCTCACAGTCATCAAGTTTGCCATTTTTCTTGCTGTTTTTCCTTTGCTTCACCGGTGTGTGTCATTTTTTCGAGAGATGCACTGATAACCGTTGCTGCGGATCACTTTTTATGCGAAACTTGCGGGTTTTGATGGTATTTGGACGGCGCGTATTGGCGTTTGAAAAAGTAGCCGCGAGACGACCAGTAGCGCCGCCTATGCGGTCGCGATTTCAAGACAGTGGTGGGGGAAGATGCGCTTATTTATAGAGAAGCTATAATAAATTATAATAAGGTGGTGCGGATGCGGTGTGTGAATGCGATAGATTTGCCGATTGGCGAATTTTGGGCTTGTTCTATAGGGTGATCCAACCTAATGAAGAAACTTTGTATCGGGTTTCTAATTTGAAATAAAACTACAATCATTTTGTAAAATATTCAGGCAATATCTTCGCAAGTTTTAAAAATATCTTTGTCAATAGAGATGAGTGCAAGCGTAGTCTTCTCCTTGCATAAAAAGCAAGACCAAGACCAAAACTAACGTCAGATCGGACAGACAAAGATCAAGACCGACCAATGCGAAACTTATAAACAAATTAGTAACATTTCTTCAGCCAACTAAACACCGCAACATAATTTCGTCCAAAAATAAACGATTTTTCACATCAAAAAATTAAATTTCTTGTACTCACTTTCTGGATAACTAAAGGTGTCCCGAAATCATTTCCCCCGCAATCTGAACCCCAGTTCGGTGAGTCGGCCTTGTTCAAGCTCACAGTCATCAAGTTTGCCATTTTTCTTGCTGTTTTTCCTTTGCTTCACCGGTGTGTGTCATTTTTCGAGAGATGCACTGATAACCGTTGCTGCGGATCACTTTTTATGCGAAACTTGCGGGTTTTGATGGTATTTGGACGGCGCGTATTGGCGTTTGAAAAAAGTAGCCGCGAGACGACCAGTAGCGCCGCCTATGCGGTCGCGATTTCAAGACAGTGGTGGGGGAAGATGCGCTTATTTATAGAGAAGCTATAATAAATTATAATAAGGTGGTGCGGATGCGGTGTGTGAATGCGATAGATTTGCCGATTGGCGAATTTTTGGGCTTGTTCTATAGGGTGATCCAACCTAATGAAGAAACTTTGTATCGGGTTTCTAATTTGAAATAAAAACTACAATCATTTTTGTAAAATATTCAGGCAATATCTTCGCAAGTTTTAAAAATATCTTTGTCAATAGAGATGAGTGCAAGCGTAGTCTTCTCCTTGCATAAAAAGCAAGACCAAGACCAAAACTAACGTCAGATCGGACAGACAAAGATCAAGACCGACCAATGCGAAACTTATAAACAAATTAGTAACATTTCTTCAGCCAACTAAACACCGCAACATAATTTCGTCCAAAAATAAACGATTTTTCACATCAAAAAAATTAAATTTCTTGTACTCACTTTCTGGATAACTAAAGGTGTCCCGAAATCATTTCCCCCTGCAATCTGAACCCCAGTTCGGTGAGTCGGCCTTGTTCAAGCTCACAGTCATCAAGTTTGCCATTTTTTCTTGCTGTTTTTCCTTTGCTTCACCGGTGTGTGTTTTTTTTCGAGAGATGCACTGATAACCGTTGCTGCGGATCACTTTTTATGCGAAACTTGCGGGTTTTGATGGTATTTGGACGGCGCGTATTGGCGTTTGAAAAAGTAGCCGCGAGACGACCAGTAGCGCCGCCTATGCGGTCGCGATTTCAAGACAGTGGTGGGGGAAGATGCGCTTATTTATAGAGAAGCTATAATAAATTATAATAAGGTGGTGCGGATGCGGTGTGTGAATGCGATAGATTTGCCGATTGGCGAATTTTTGGGCTTGTTCTATAGGGTGATCCAACCTAATGAAGAAACTTTGTATCGGGTTTCTAATTTGAAATAAAAACTACAATCATTTTTGTAAAATATTCAGGCAATATCTTCGCAAGTTTTAAAAATATCTTTGTCAATAGAGATGAGTGCAAGCGTAGTCTTCTCCTTGCATAAAAAAGCAAGACCAAGACCAAAACTAACGTCAGATCGGACAGACAAAGATCAAGACCGACCAATGCGAAACTTATAAACAAATTAGTAACATTTCTTCAGCCAACTAAACACCGCAACATAATTTCGTCCAAAAATAAACGATTTTTCACATCAAAAAAAATAAATTTTTGTACTCACTTTCTGGATAACTAAAGGTGTCCGAAATCATTACCCCCTGTAATCTGAACCCCCAGTTCGGAGAGTCGGCCTTGTTCAAGCTCACAGTCATCAAGTTTGCCATTTTTCTTGCTGTTTTTCCTTTGCTTCACCGGGTGTGTTTTTTTCGAGAGACGCACTGATAACCGTTGCTGCGGATCACTTTTTACGCGCGAAACTTGCGGGTTTTGATGGTATTTGGACGGCGCGTATTGGCGTTTGAAAAAGTAGCCGCGAGACGACCAGTAGCGCCGCCTATGCGGTCGCGATTTCAAGACAGTGGTGGGGAAGATGCGCTTATTTATAGAGAAGCTATAATAAATTATAATAAGGTGGTGCGGATGCGGTGCGTGAATGCGATAGATTTGCCGATTGGCGAATTTTTGAGCTTGTTCTACAGGGTCAGCCAACCTAATGAAGAAACTTTGTATCGGGTTTCTAGTTTGGAATGAAAATTCCAATCGTTTATGTAAAATATTCAGGCAATATCTTCGCACATTTTAAAAATATCTTTGTCAATAGAGATGAGTGCAAGCGTGGTCTTGTCCTTGTATAAAAAGCAAGACCAAAACTAACGTCAGATCGGCCAGACTAAGATTAAGACCGACCAGTGCGAGAGTTATAAACAAATTAGAAACATTTCTTCAGCCAACTAAACACCACGACATAATTTTGCCCAAAAATGTACTATTTTTCACAAAAACAAAATTAAATTTATTGTACTCACTTTCTGGATAACTAACGGAGTTCCGAAGTCCTTTCCCCCCTGCAATCTGAACCCCCAGTTCGGGTATTCCGCCTTGTTCAAGCGCACCGTCATCAAGTTTGCCATTTTCTTGCTGTTTTTCCCTTGCTTCGCCGGTGTGTTTTTATTTTCGAGAGACGCACTGATAACCGTTACTGCGGATCGCTTTTTACGCGAAACTTGTGGGTTTTGATGGTATTTGTACGGCGCGTATTGGCGTTTGAAAAAGTAGCCGCGAGACCACCGGTAGCGCCGCCTATGCGGTCGCGATTTCAAGATAGTGGTGGGGAAGATGCGCTTATTTATAGAGAAGCGATAATAAATTATAATAAGGTGGTGCGGATGCGGTGCGTGAATGCGATAGATTTGCCGATTGGCGAATTTTTGGGCTTGTTCTATAGGGTGATCCAACCTAATGAAGAAACTTTGTATCGGGTTTCTAATTTGGAATAAAAACTACAATCATTTTTGTAAAATATTCAGACAATATCTTCGCAAGTTTTAAAAATATCTTTGTCAATAGAGATGAGTGCAAGCGTAGTCTTCTCCTTGCATAAAAAGCAAGACCAAGACCAAAACTAACGTCAGATCGGACAGACAAAGATCAAGACCGACCAATGCGAAACTTATAAACAAATTAGTAACATTTCTTCAGCCAACTAAACACCGCAACATAATTTCGTCCAAAAATAAACGATTTTTCACATCAAAAAAATTAAATTTCTTGTACTCACTTTCTGGATAACTAAAGGTGTCCCGAAATCATTTC